AACTTTCCGTGAAAAATCATCAATAAAAGTAACATAGTACCTAGATCCACCCAAAGACGATGTCGTGGAAGGCCCCCATACATCAGAATGCACATAATCAAGAATCCCTTGAGTTGTGTGCTTCGTAGTCTTAAAACGGACTTTAGTCTGTTTACCAAGAACACAATACTTGCAAAAATCGAGCTTACAGCTTTTGACACCATGCAACAAGTTTCTCTTGTGTAATTCTGCCATACCACGTTCACTAAGATGAGCAAGGCGCATATGCCACAATTTTGTCGTATCATCACAGGACTCAACAGAGTGAACTCCACCTGCAACGGTACTCCCTAACAATCTGTAGATATTCCCTGCAGTCATCTTGCCTTTCATCACAGTCAATGCTCCTTTAACAATCCGAATGGTTTCCCTATCCTCGTCAGCCTTAGGGATAAAACCATTCTTGTGCAAAGTGCCCAATGAAATCAAATTCTTCTTCAAGTCTGGGATATGTCGAACACCACTCAACGTCCGAACGGAGCCATCGTGCATCTTAATTCTGACATCACCAATACCAACAATATTGCAACATCGATCATCACCCAAATAAACCGAACCAGAATTAACCGGCCTGTATGTCGAAAACCATTCCCTATTTGGCGTGATGTGATAAGAACATCCAGAATCAAGAATCCAAGCATCCATCAATTGTGTCGTTGAAATAGAAAGCATATCACCCTCACTGCAATCAGAATTATCATCCTCGACCACGTTCACAGACTTGGATGATCCATCACGCTTCTCATCAGTCTGCTTTTTCAACTTCGGACAGTCTCGCTTCATATGTCCCCGCCTCCTTGCACTTGTAACAGTGAATCGTCTTCTTATCCCTGGATTTGGATCTGGAATTCCGCTTCCCGGACCCTGCCTTCTCTGGCTTCCGTCCACGATCTCGATTACCCTTGACATATAAGCTATCGGCTTGAGAGCTTTCCCCTGCATTCTGCTTCCGCTGGTTGTGAGCCAACAAGGCTGCAGTAATCTCCTCAACGTTGATAGTCTCTTTCCCATATGTAAGAGTAGTCACCATGTGTTCGTAAGAGGGAGGCAACGAACACAACAGAATCATCGCTCTGTCTTCATCCTCAATTTTTACATCAAGCCGAGCCAGATCAGAAACGATTTGATTAAAGACATTCATGTGTTGCGCCAAATCGTGATCGTCCTGCATCTTCAGCCCATACAGCCGCTGCTTCAGATACAGTTTTGTCGTTAAGGATTTTGACATAAACTGACTTTCCAACTTCCTCCAAATTTTGTCTGGAGACGATAGATGCATGACGTGATACATGACCTCGTCCGCCAAGCATAATCGTATGGTTCCTGCCGCTCGCTGCTGTAATTCTTCCCAATTCGACGACGGCTTTGTAGGTCGCAAAGCCTTCAAGATCCCTTGCTGCGCCAATAGATCTTTCACCCTCGTTTGCCATAATCCGAAGTTACCCTGACCATCGAATTTCGCGACTTCGAATTTTTCTCCTGACATCTGATACCAATTGTTGACGAAAATGGGTAAAGAAAACAAAAGAACACGAGAATTTTACGAGGTTCGGCAATGTGCTTACGTCCTCGGTGCCTAGGCGGCGCTAGAAGTTTTATTCAATGATATTTTAGGTCTAGGTTACATCTCTATTTATAATAGAAAACACTGGTACATAATTATAAAATCAACCCTGTACCGTATCGCGGGGCGCAGCCCCCGTACCCCCAACCCACATAATTCGTAACCCCACAACGAGACTTTCTTTGTAAGGACAGTTGATGTTCGCTTCGCTCACTCCACTCCATCTCCTGTCCTCTTTACTGGTATATTTATGAGCCATACCTAACAAACCTATTCAGTCCTATCTGGGTACACATGGTTATGTTGGCAACAAGTTGCTACTATTTCCGTCTCTCGCGCCTCTGGCTTGTCTTATCATGCCTTCACACTCTACCTTAGGTTCGCCTGTTTGGGTGGTGAGCTGCTCATGAGGCACTTTCTGTTGGGTGCTTCTGTTAAGGTATTACAGGCCTCCTTCTCTTCAACAATGTTGTATCCGTCACTAGAAACCCATCCTTTTATGGTCTTTTGGTCTAGGCCTGTAAGGCACAACTAAAATAAATGTTGATGGAGCTTGTTCGACCGTTGGTGGGTTCCCTACTGTTGGGGTTATCGCTCGTGATAGTAATGGTACTGTTATTGCTGGCAAAGCTCTGGTGATTGATAGTCGGCACGATGCTGGCATTATCGAAGCGCATGCTTTATTTCACGATATTAGGCCGGCCATCGAGATGTGGTTTCCACAAGTCATTGTGGAGAGCGATGCGCTATTTCCACAAGTCACTGGTGCCATTGTTGGTTCACCTAGTAAAACGGACCTTCTTTATCGTCAACATGAGGAAGTGATGAGAGTGAGAGCTGCTGCTCATCAACATCAGCAAAGGCTGGCTACTGCTCAATTGATGGCTGGTGCTTCTTCTCTCTTGCGTTGCGAAAAAAAACACGAATTTTCTTTTGCAACAGCAAACTGATGCCCAGAGGTATGTTAAATAGTTCCCATTTTTGTTTCCTGCTCTGTTTTGAAAACCGGACCGGACCGGCCGATTCAACCGGTTTAACCGGGAACCGTTGTTTAGTTCGGTTTAATCTAAACCGGTTGAACCGCTACTAGTGAACCGGCTAGAACTGTTGAACCGTTCGAATCGGACCGGCTGAAAACCGGAAAAAACCTGGAATTTTATTTTTTTTTTAAAAAATTAAACCAAACAACGTCGTTTGTTAAACGAGCCAAGTCGAACTCGAGTATTGCTGAGCTCGACTCGAACTTGAAAACTTTAAAAGTAAGCTCAACTCAACTCAAACTCACAAGCTAAAAATTATCAAGTTCAACTCAAACTCGAAATATATATCATTTTGTTATGATTTTTTTAACCCCAAATTTATTTTTTAATTATAGTTATATAATTATATTTATTATTTAATATGTTTTACCTTAAATATTAGTTTAATTTGAATCATTTTGTTTCACTTGATTTTATTGTTTTTAACTTATATATATTATGACTTGCTTTGAATATGACTTGTGATATAAAAAATTATTTTTTATTAAATATTTTTGATTTTTTTATTTATTTTTTTAAATAATTATGACGTCGTCCGGTTCTTTCAACCGGTCGGACCGATTCGACCGGTTGAACCAGTGAACCGGTAGCATAACCGGTTCACTAACCGGTCCGGTTCTGAAAACTATATTTAACGTTGTTATGTGTGTTGTTCCTTTGTGAATTTCATTAAGGGATAGTGTGTAGCTACGTTGATGTAGTTTGTTTTTAGGTTTTTTAATGAGGTATTTGGGGTGATGCACTTTGTGAATTCTAATACAAAATAATTATTTTTCAAAAAAAAAAAAAATTCGAACGGCTCGACACAGATCATTCCGTGTTACAGTTTTATCTTGTGGAGGTTCGTCAATTGTTCGACTCTAATCCGCATAACGATGTTCGCCATGTTCATCGTGAAGCTAATGCTGTGGCCGACTCTCTCGCCCACCATGTATCTTATTCTGTTGTTCCTTTGTATTTTGAGTTCTCATATCCAGATTGCATCGCAGATCTTGTTGTCACTGATGCCATCTTTGGCTAATAATACATGGTTAAATTTCAACAACAAAAAATACACTTAATCTTATTTCTTATATATTTTATTAATTAAATAAATTTTTTGATTTGATTTATTAAATTTAATTTATGAAATATATTATTATCATATTAAATGAATAAATTTTGAATTCTAGAAGTGAAAGTAAAACTAAAGTAGAACATTAGCACGAAGATAAATTCAATATTTAAAATAAATTGATAATATTATCTCTCTCTTTCTCTGTCTATTTTTTTATATATTAAATTATAGACAATGTAACATTATATTTTTATTTAGTAATTTACAATAAATATATTTAATAATATTTACATAAATAATAAATATATTAAGTATACTAAAAGTTTATTAACTACAAAGATTAATCGGAAATTCTAATTAGAAGTTTGGGCTATCAATTTCAAAATGGATAAAGATTGATTTATTCAATAGAATAAAAAAAGTATAACACAGATACTACTACAATATTTGTATTCGATTTTTTCCATCCATTAGATTACATGAACCTCTCATCTCAACCTTTCCTTTTTAACAGGTCAACCGAATTCAGCGGTATTTTCTCTCTCAACGGTTTATATTAACTTGCCTTAAATTTACCGTATTCCGAATACTAAGTTTGTTTTCCTCAGAATTTCCCGCTTTTTAATCAGAGTGTTAAATTATATAATACCGGTGCCGGAAATACAGAAAGTGTAGCCGGAGATCAACTGGTTGGAATGTTTAACCATAGAGGTTCATCCCTTATGAAAAACGTTTCAACAACAACCAAATTTATCTCTAGGAAATCTCCCAGAGCCATTGCTCTTTACATATTCTTGCTCTTTGCTTTCTCCATCTTCATTTTCGTCTTCAATGCTGGTAACATTGAGGATGATCAATTCAACCCAATATCTCTTCAGGTCTGTGATCCAATATTTCTTCTCTTTCTGTTAATGGGTGGTCATCTTTGAGGCTTTTCAAAAATGGGTCATTGTCTTTTTAAGAAACAGAAATCTAAGCATTGTTCTTACTGTTAAATCTTTTTAACAAAAAGGGAAATTAAATTCAAGGATGAATTGCATGTATAATTCCTTTTTGAGTTATGCAGATAACTGATGAAGAACTTTGGGACCCTCCTTCTAGCCGTGGCTTACGTCCGTGTGCTCATCCTACGAGCAAATATATACGTAAAAATCTAGAAACATATTACTCCTCTCACTCATGATCTCACTTAAACTGTCCCTTTCCTTTTGGATCAGTGCTTACTCTTTTACTCAATGTCTAGTTGTTAATTGTTTTTCTGTTTGTAATCGATAATTCTGGTTTTCTCTAATTCCATTTAATGCTGTCAGCTTCACTCGGATCTGACCGATATTTAATAGTGAACTGTAATGGAGGATTGAATCAAATTCGCACTGCGGTATGTTTTCTTATATCTATTTCTTGTTTACTTTTTTTTTTTTTTGCTTTTGCCTGATCTTTCTGTATATATGTGTCTAATTACATTCAATATCACATTCTACGATTAATGATTTGATAGAATTAGAAAACTGATTGTGTGGTGAAGATGGTTTTTGCTACCTATCATAAAATTTTCTAAGCCATTATGGAGTTTATGCAGTTAATAATTGTGCTCATATGGAAGACATGTTAGCCTTGTACAGTCTACTACAATGCTACGTTACTCCGGATCCATAAATAAACAACAATCTGATCAATTTCAGTTGAAACCAGTGGAGTTCCCCCCCCCCCCAAGGTTAACCGGTTTTTGTTGTTGAAATGAAATACATATATTTTAAGTCAGTTCTAACCGCTGGATGCTTAGTACTCTAAGAGTAATATGCATATCAATTTTCACTTTAATTTGGTTTTGGATCTATAAATATTGTTGTCGTAAGCTTTTAACAATCGGCGCATCATCAAAAAATTCTCTCGATGTATAACCCATTGTTGTTTGCGTTCAAGTTTCTTGTGTTTGATTGAGTGAATTTGTTAGCTCTACAATCCATTATTGTTTGCTTTCAAGATTCATGGATGTTACATTGTCTTGTAGATATCGGACATGGTGGCTGTGGCATACATAATGACTGCAGTCTTAGTTATTCCAAAGATGGATACACAATCCTTCTATCATGACTCGAGGTATTCTCATTTGTTTCCCTCTCAACTCTATCAAAGTCTGTAATTGTTTTGATCTTATTTAGTTTACTGTAATTACTTAAGGTCTCTCATCTCGATTGGAACAGTACATTTTCTGATATATTTGATGAGCTTCATTTCATCACAACTTTACAACAAGATGTTAGGATTGTTAAGGAGCTTCCAAAGGAACTGGAACATGTTCCTCGGGCTCAAAAGCACTTTACTTCCTGGTCTAATGTGGGTTACTACAAAGAAATGGCTCAGCTGTGGAATGAGTATCAGGTATATACTCGTTGTCATTATTTATTTTTGGGTGTGGCTTGTTTTAGATACCCTCCTAGATGTGATTGATCTGCAGTGATGATGGTGTGCAATCTGTCTGAGTTAACTTTTTCCGGAATATGATTCACTATTATGTTTTGTTTAATGCAGTTATACCAAGTAGAAAAGAATGCATTCTATTTACTGAAATAATTTCTAGGTAGCTTAATATTAAGGCAAAATTCATAACGGAGGTCTTCGACGGAAGCTGCTCTCAACCTGGCGTTGGGGGCAGCCTACTACCCTACCTCCCCCTTACCCCATTACATATGAGAATAGGGTCAGCTAATTTTTTTAATATTAAGGCAAAATTCTTCAAATACTCTCATACAAGGACATATAGCATGCCTAAGTGTGATCCAGCATCAAATTTTACCCCCCCTTTTTAAATTATTATAAGTCATAATTCCAAGGATGCTGAACAAGAAACTTTTGCAGGTTATCAATGTTGTTGAATCAGATTCTATACTCGCAAACAACGATCTTCCTCTTGATGTACAGAGGTTGAGATGCCGTGCTATGTACCATGCTCTTCGCTTCCCTCCCTCCATCGAGAGCTTAGGAAAGGTGAATTGATACTCTTTGGTGTTTATGCCCCTGTTACTTTACTTCCATGCACAGGAAATAAAAGGCATAAGCTTTTGAAATGCAGCAAGAATTTAAGATCTTATAAAAAGAATTCACCTTGCAATGCTAGAATATAATATGCGCGACAAACAGCATTCATGTTTGATTTGATTATTGAATGATTTAAGAGATCTCTTATGGGACTTCCTTTTTAAATTATGTTCTGAGTATGCATGATGGTGACACCACAGGAGCTGGTAGATCGTCTGAGAACACAGAGTGGAAAATACATTGCAGTTCACTTAAGCTATGAAAAAGACATGCTTGCTTTTACTGGTTGTACTTCTGGTTTGACTGATGCAGAATCTGAAGAGCTGAGAATAATGAGGTAGGAACCTTTCTTTTGTGCTCGTGCATTTACTTTAAGTCTTGACAGGAATCCTTTTCTTTACCAATTTGTCTTACTGAAAACCAGAATATTAACCATGTAACCTGTATGAATAAACTAACTTGATAATGGTCTCAATATACAGACTTCAAAATTTTGTATTAAATTCGTATAAATTATGGAAAAAGTTATGTAGTTTTTCCTTATCCTTGATATGCTTTGAATTATGCTTTGTTAGTTAAAATTACTAGAAAATGGGGAAGAATGTGACTAAATTGACCAATTTGAGCATAAAAGAAGTCATCCTTTTGGTGTTTCAAAAAAAAAAAAAAAAGAAGTCATCCTTTTGGTGCTTAGGTTTTTGTGTTTTTTTTAGCTTATACTGGTTTCTCTAAATATCTTTCCAGGGAGAACACAAAAGATTGGAAGGTTAAAGATATAAACCCTACTGAACAGAGAAAAGGTGGCTTTTGTCCACTAACCCCCAAAGAAGTGGGAATATTTCTTCGAGCTATTGGTTATCCTCCATCAACACTAATTTATGTTGCATTTGGTGAAATTTATGGTGGTGATGCTCGCCTTTCTGAGCTCAAGTCGTATTTTCCAAATCTAGTTTCCAAGGTTTGCTATTGTTATTTTGCCTTGTTATAAATAGTTTGATGTGCATAATCGGCCATGAGGATGTGGTGCCTTCATGACTATGCTTTTGTTGATGACAGGAGAAACTGGCAACAAAGGAAGAGTTGAATGCAGTTTCTAAGCATTCAACTCAAACTGCTGCACTAGATTACATTGTTTCTTTGGAAAGCGATGTGTTTGTTCCATCATCTTCAGATAACATGGCACGAGCTATTGAGGGGCACCGCAGATTCTTTGTCCATCGGAAGACAATCTCCCCAGACAGGTAATAGATGGTGAAAATATCATTTGGTTTCTTTTAGGAACAGGTTTTCTATAGGAAATGAGCCATTAATATCCTCTACATGTTTTGCTTTCGTGTAGTATTCCCAGAAAGCCATTTTATGCCATGAATGCGACTTAATGCAATTCAGTCACCCAATTTGTTTTCCTGAATCGTTAATTTACAAAGATGTGACAAGTGAGCAGTTGAGTCTTCCAGAGGAATTCATCTCTGTGGATGAAGTTTATGTACTTTGTTTTTGGTTTCACTAACAAAATATTTTCTTGGAAAATAGCATAGCATAGCATGGCCTTGTCTTGTCTTGTTAGTTTCTTTGTTTAGTTCACGTAATACTGGGCGATATCAACTTTAATGATGGTTTTGTAACTTCTTTCCTATAAATACTTTGTAGTGTTGAATGACACCCTATAAGAACAATTTTTTTAAAAAAAAATTCCTCAAAAAAGAACTATCGTTCTTATTAAAGCAATTTATACTCTTATCTCAAATTTGTTAATATGTGATACAGGAAAGGACTTGCCAAGCTTTTTGACGAGTTGGAAAGAGGGAAACTAAAAATATCCTCATTCGCTGAACGTGTGCAGCAAATGCACAAAAACAGGTAGTTATGTTATCTGTTTTCCATGAATTAGACCCATTCTACTATTCCTCTGTGATGGACCTAACAACTAGGCTGTGAAAATGTAAAAATTAAGTACCAAAAGATGCATAATTAAAATCAAGGATGCATAATTAAATATCGAAGGAATCTTATTGCAGTGTTCAATGGAATGACATTTTTTAATGAATTTCAACATTGTAATTATATTGTAGGAGAGGATCTCCAAGAAAAAGAAAAGGTGCTGCACCAGGAATGAAAGGAGAAGAACGCTTCAAGACTGAAGAATTCTTCTATGACAATCCATACCATGAGTGTATATGTAGTCCAAAGGGTGTATAAGATAGTCGTAACCTGGTTTGGTTTGCCGTCCGAGTTGCCTAAATGAAAGGATCCCCATTTGCATGAGCATGGTATGTTAAACCGAGATGGAAGGTGCCCCAGAAATGAGCTCGAGCAATGGCCGCCTTGCTTCTTTTTTAATTGACCCCAAGTTCTAAATACACAATTAGAGTTGCATCGCATGAAGCTGCAGTTAATAGGTAATTGAATTTCTTGAACACCCCCCATCTTATAGGATTTGCATTTCATTCGCAGGCAAAGCTTGTAGTACCTATTTTTTGTAAGACAATTCTCATTCTGGTCCCTGAATTTCATTTCATATAAATTCATTTGTTCTGACTTTCAAAGACATGATAGTTTTCATGTATGATGAGAACACAGATAAGAGGCAACCATTATCTTGATGTATATATATTTTGAAGGCAACCAATACAGTTTATAATCTTTTGGTTTTCCCCCGCCATATTCTAGTCTCCGCTATACTTTATGCTTATAGCATTTTCCCTTGCTTTCTTTTGACAATGCAAAAACATGTTGGCACCAATTCACGTCAGTATGGCTGTATTGGAACAGTGTCGATACTCCTAGTGAAAGATAAAAATGACGGCAGTTATGTGAAATATAAACGGATAATTGGTTAAGTCATTTCAACCAAATAGGCCTTGAAATTCAACTTCCAGGACAATGGCATGGTGTTCCCTATTTTATCAAAAAACACTAGTAAGGCTAAAGCCACTCTTCATATTGGTTATAAGAAAATCACCAACTTGAGAAAGAGTTCAGTGTCATTTTGATGATGGCATTTCACTGAATTATACAACCTATTTTCCATGGAGGTCCTCGAGATCTTTCAGGATGATTGAAATTTATTTGATGAAGCTTCTTTCAGGATGATTGAAATTTATTTGATGAAGCTTCTTTCAGGATGATTGAAATTTATTTGGCGAAGCTTCCCGTTCTAAACGACGCCGTTCTCGCTGAAACAAATCAAATAAAAAAGGCACAAGCCCTAGGTAGAAACCATGTGAACGTGGAAAAATCAGACATCTATATGCACAGTACATATCCGATGACACCTTCCGTCCAAGATAGAAAACAGGAGCAAGTTTGAATAAAAATAAAACCAAGAAGATTTCAAAAGATAACTCATGCCGAAACAAGAAACAAAAGCATTCGGGTCTTCAGTTGATCAGAATCACTCACCTAAGTACAGAGATGACATAAGGGTATACATCCACATATATTATCAACTGGTTACACATGATTAGTTACATCCTATATCTGCAAACATCCTCAAGAAACCAATATGACGTTGAAGTAAAAGCATCTTCAACCAAAAGGGAAAGATAAGACAAACAGCAATAATTTCCCATTTAGTTTTTCATCCCAGTCCTCAGAGGATGAGTCAACAGAAACATGTTATCGATAGATAATTGTTGCTTGGAGTAGCATTTTATAATCTGCAGTATGACTGAATATCTGCAAAGATGACTGTTGACTAGTATGGATTACCACTTGAGCAGTTCAATTCAACGATGCTTTGAGTTATTTTTCACTCAAGACCAGTAATGGATCAACTATAAAACAGTAGAAGATTGATTTAACAGAACACGGGCTACAAATAAACTACTAGTTATCTGATGCGTATAGCACTTTAAAGAGAAGTTCAAACATGTTTAAGTGGCAAATTTTCAGTTAGTTATGCATACAGGATTGGGCGTATAGGGCATACATATGCATTTGAGACCAAATCCAAAATCCAAGTAACAACGCTTTAAAAATGACTAAAGCAGTAGAGTCCAGTATGATTTTCAGTGATGAAGAAAATGACTTCAAATTGATAGTAAGCATAGAACAAGCCTAAATTATTTCTATCCCATCAAGATTGACGTAACAGTCACAAGAACCAAGATTCATCATACGGGAAAGACAAAATCCAAATTCATCATATGGGAAAGGAAAAAAATTTTAACCCATTTGAGCAACAATAATTGGGTATCAACAAATGCAACTATAATTTAAGCAAAGATTTCATTCAATTTTTTTTTTAAAACAAGAAACTTCAAACAGTGGACAGCCAAAAATACACGCTTAAAACTTGAAATATCTATTCCTATACCATAATTATACATATCGATAAAACAGAGTTTGGGGCAAGAAAATAAGCAAAGGAAAGAGTAATGAGAAACAAACCCGTCTCTCCCAGTAAGGAAGGAAGCAGACAAAATCATAGACAGGGGTAATGGTTGAGACCAGCACAGCGTTGAGGCCAGTGAACAGTAATAGAGCTGTCAATGGACGTGTTCTGTGAGGCATCTTTGATTTATACTCTGCGAATCATAAAGTTAATAATTTTATTTAGAGAAAATCGCCTCAGTGACCAAAAATGCCTTATAATATACGATTTTAACTAACTTTTTTTAGATTTGTCAAATGACCAACAAAATCGCAATACGATCGCTAATTCGCAACGCGATCTCCATTATCGCAAATTCGCGTTGCATTTCGCGTTGCGATAGTTGGAAATCGCGTTGCGATGGTCTACAGTGTCGTTACGATTTTCCCAATCCGCAATGTGAATAAGTAAATCGCAACGCGAATTGGGAAAATCGCAATGCGATACTGACTATCGCAATACGATACTTACTATCGCAATGCGATAATACAAAATCGCAACGAGATACTGACTTTCGCAATGCGATTTATATAGCGCCATTCGTATTAACGCGTATTTTTTTTTTCAAATTCCAAACACGAATTTTTTCTTAATAAATCAGAAACTGAACCGTCCACAGTAATCGCAACTCATAACCTCAAACCCAAAATCACAACACTCAGTCCCATCTCCATCTCTCACTCTCTACGGCGAAATCTGTCCCCATCTCCGAAGATTTCCGTCCCCATCGCCGGCGAAATCCCTCACAACCATTCACAGTCAAAAATCCCTCACAATCATTCATAAATGGAAAATCAACCTCCGAGGGTTAGTTTTTTTTTTTTTTTTGAAAATTTTGCATTATTTTAAGTTTTTCATATTGAGATTGATGATAAATTTACTAGTAATTTCAATAATAGATTAACCATTTCACTTAGATTTCTTATTAAATTCATTCGATTGCTGCCAATACTGCTAAACTGTTTAGCCTGTGAAGTTAGTATTTGTCTTTGTTTTGTCTTTTGGTTGAAGTAATGCAGAAGAAGAATAGTTTCGAGAATGAAATCGCAACGCGGAAATAACTATCGCAACGAGAGAATCGCAACGCGAAATAAAAATCGCAACGCGAAACAAAATCGCATTGCGATTTTCATTTCGCGTTGCGATTCTCTCGTCGCGATAGTCATTTCGCGTTGCGATTCTCTCGTTGCGATAGTCATTTCCGCGTTGCGATTCTCATTATCTCGTTGCGATTTTCATTTCAACCAAAAGACAAAACAGTGTTGCAAATTTAGTTTCAAGAATAAACTACTATTTATGTTTATTGTTTTTGGTATATCTTGACAGTGTAGTTTTTGTATATCTAACTTGGTATGTTTTTGTTTTTGTAGAATTTTTCGGCTTCATTGACATTAATAAAGTTAGCCTAGCCACTACAATTGCTCGAAGCTTTCACCTGCACAAAGAAAATTGTTTGAAGAAACCTGCTTCGGGCCATGGCTGAGAGTACAGCATCCGGGTGGAGATGCTAATTTGACCCATTTGTGGCTTCAGACCATGACTAGCGATCTACCCGACAGTATACAACGTGGTGAGGAAGAGATATAGTTCATTTTCCACCGGCGTATACTTGTTTTGGGCGGAAGGAGTTCTGCTTAATCACTGGTCTACGATTCGGACACGATGATGTAGGCCGGTACACTCATCATATCACCCGCCCATCATGGTTATCCAGGGTTTTTCCTGATGAGTCAATAGAGAAGCCGAACTTACACGTCGACGACATGAAGAAATTGTTTAATAAGAAAGATGGTTTTACTCGGATGATGACGTCGATGTTGTCCGAGTATGCCTTCTACTACTTTTGTATGCCGGCTTTTTAGGCAGAGAGGCCAGACAACCTATTCCTCAGGAGCTAATATTATTGGTAGAGGACCTAAATGCATGGAATATGTTTCTGTGGGTTCGTATATGGAAAGCTACCTGGACTAAGTTGTCGTCTGCCTTTGATGACCGCAAAAGTTTGCGGGGCGATGGGTCGAAATACACTTTGTCAGGCTTTGTTTGGGCCTTTAGGTAAGAATTTCTATATAATGTTTTCAAAATTATTTAATTATTTAACAATTACTAATGTTTGTTATTATATTGTTTGTAGATTTGGATATTCGAGGCCTTTCCCGCCATGAAGACATATGCAATAAAAACTTCAAATGATATTCCCAGGGCTATTTCCTGGAAGAGGAAACGTCTGTTGGATTGGGAAGACTTAATACAATAAATAATGTAAGTTAACACAATACTATCATATATAAACAAGTTATTAATAGTAGACGTTTAACTTTGTTTGAGTTTTTATATTTTTAGGAGGCCAACATTCCATTAATTAGACTGACACCCACGGAGGCTGAGCTTGCCACTGATTGGTGCAAGCTAGTCAGCATTTTCTTGATGGCACGAATGATGAGAAGCCTCCACTTCCTCCACTTCGAGAGCCATCACCTCACCCAGAGCCATCACCTGATTGACCCGACTATACACCTCTACAACGAGAGCCATCACCTATCCCGTCACATCATCGAGCCTCTTCTCCACCATCACCTCATGATAGGCGACCGGCAAAGATGCCACGACTTCTATCCCCTGTTTCTACCTCCACGGGATGAGTAAGGGAGTTACGTGATGAGGTCAATGCCTTGCATGAGGAGATCGGTACTCTACTCGATAACGATGGTGCATGGCGTGGAGATGTCTACTTACGTGTGAGGTTGTCGCTCTACGTGAGATGGTAGTATCGTTACAGAATAGGTTCATACTCTACGCAACGAGGTAAGTTTAAGATTTTCCATATTTAACTTGATGATAAATTTACTCGTAATTTCACTTAAATTAACCATTTTCACTTAGATTGCTTAGTAAATTTATTCGGTTGCTGCCAATACTGCTAAACTGTTTATTAACACTGTGAAGTTAGTATTTGTCTTTTTGTTTTGTCTTTTGGTTGAAGTAAATTTATTCGGTTGCTGCCAATTCTGCTAAACTGTGTATTCTTTAACACTGTGAAGTTAGTATTTGTCTTTGTTTTGTCTTTTGGTTGAAAGTTTGAAATATATTTGTCTTTGTTTTCACTGTTTCAATATCATGTCTGTTTATTTACTGATATTTGTATTTAATTATTTAGCGGACCGATAAGGTGGATGCTTTACGTCGGGTTTTCTTGCACAATAGAGTTCACGCATCAGACGGCGTGCACGTGCTATTAAGTCTCCGTATACCCAATAGTACGAAGACACCGCAAGAAGAAGCCCGACTCGCCTGTCATCCCTCAAGAGTCCATAAGGTTAGTGTTTTTTTAACACCGACGTCTATTAGGAAACTTAAGGAAAATAAAAGAAATACACGATATACAATTATGCCGACGTCTTTTAATGCCGTTCACTTGAAGAATCAACGAGATGAATCATTTGCGTTGGGCAATGGATAAGCTAAACTTTATCCTGCATGGTGGGAGGTCGATAAGGTTAGTGTTTATTTTAGATTGAGTTTAAAGGTATTCATAAATAAGTGCGCAAAATGAATGAATTATTACTTATGATTGCAGGTGTTTATCCCTGTTTTGGAACGTAACCATTGGCTTCTCGTCGAGCTTCAGATCCCATCCCTTAAGGTAATAGTATATGACAGCATGATAAATTACATATCATTGGCTGATTTAAGAGATATTATTAAGGGATGGAGCTCTTATTTGGCTAAATTCTTGGATGCGATAAATTATTGGACTCGTTCTGGAAACAAGAAGCCAAAGAAGCTCAATATTACAGTTAGCAGAGACGAGACCGCACCACAACAAACAAAAGGACCCAGAGGGGATTGTGGTCCTCTCGTATGCTTGGTGTTGGACCGTTTGATCACAGGAAGTATAAAGTATCTACCTCCCACCGATATAGATAGAGCTGCAGTAGGCTTGTGGTTTCGACATTATATGGCTAGATCGATATATACGAGACGCTGCCTACCTGCATCCGCGTTATAAAAATGTCCATAAATAATTGGTATGTTTATAGGCTTGTGGTTTGAAAATGTTTGGTTAAGTACCTAGAATTCAATAATTGCTGTTTGTAGGTTTTAGATGTGTAGAAAGTGTTGTTTGAGCAAATGTTTGGTTTATGCAGGTTAATCTCAGAAGTGAGCTGCGTGAAAATGATGTATGGCTGCAAAAGTTGATTCAATAGTAGAAGTGTATTTTCTCTAATAATTATTGCTTATTTTTTGATTGTTTAATTGATTTGTAAAAGGTGATTTGTAAAAGTTGATTTGTTTAATTGATGTTAACATAATTCTTATTTGTGCTTGTTTAATTGATTGAAATGTAATGGTTGATTTTGTTGATTTCAATCTGCATTATGTTGAAGGCAAAAAGTACTATCGCAATGCGAAATGAAAATCGCAACGAGAGAATCGCAACGCGAAATGAAAATCGCAACGAGAGAATCGCAACGCGAAATTAAATTCGCGTTGCGATTTTCATTTCGCATTGCGATTCCCTCGTTGCGATTTTCATTTCGCATTGCGAAATTAGCGTTGCGATTTTCATTTCGCATTGCGATTCTCTCGTTGCGATTTTCATTTCGCATTGCGATAGTAATTTCCGCGTTGCGATAGACATTAAGATGATTGCCTATTAAGTGATAACAACTGAACAGATCATAGCAATTTTCAAACTCAAGTTACTAATACATGCCTAACTGAAAATGTTAAAAGTTCACACATAAAATCTACATAATACAACGTTTGCATTTAAAAATCACCTAAGTTAACAGTCCCAAAAGGTGAAGCCAGTTGTGATTGGGATTTTAAAGATGATTGGGATTTTAAAGATGATTGTGATTTTGATTGCCTTTTTCTTGAAACCATATGAGCTTTGGATTTTGATGATGATCCATATTTTGGTAGAGGAAAAGATGATTGTGATGGCACTGGTGATCCACATATCAACCTTGTATGACCACTTTCCTTGCACCGACTACATGTCGATCTCTTCTTCTCTTCACCCTTAGACGGTATACGATCGTGACTTTTTGGTCGGCTAGGTAGCCTTCTGTCCATGGCTGGTGGCAAAACTGTTTGTAAGTCATCTGGTATGTCCCACTCAGAAGGATGTGGAATAGGGTAGACAATCTCGGCATAAGTCTGTCGATATACTTCT